CCAGAACGGACCAGTGGCTGCTGTGAGCACAGCTCGGCACTTAGCTCAAGGCCCCCTACTCCTCAGGAAAGTGGGAGGAACCCTCTGGACAGCTCGCTGCACTTTTTGGGACGGGGGTCGGGACTTAGATGGTTCTACTCTGGTAAGAGCTTCTTCACATCTGGGCACCTGGGTGGTTCAGATGGTTAAGCGTCTGCCTTCGGCTCAGGTCATGATCTCAGGGTCCTGGGATCGAGTCCCACATCGGGCTCCCTGCTCCTCGGGAGCCTGCTTCTCCTTCTGCCTCTCTCTCTCTCTCTCTCTCTGTCTGTCATGAATAAATAAATACAATCTTTAAAAAAAAAAAAAAAAAAGAGCTTCTTCACCTCATCCGTGCCAAGGCCCCAGGAGCCTTCTGCAAGTTTGCTGAATGGAAGCTGCATATTGGAGAAAGACAATGGCCCTCTTCTATCCATCCGCTGCCCATGAGCCCGAGCCTCAGTCCCAGCCCCAGCCTGCCTGGAGACTTCCTCACTCCTAGAGGCCAAGGAGCTCTTTCCTCAGCTCTGGGCTCACTTCCTGTTTGCACCTGAGGGTATGATGCAGGGCAGGGAGCTCAGTTGGCAGCGTTTCCTGTCCCGTCCCACTCCCAGGAACGCAGGTGAAGTTGCTTGGGGTCTCTCCTTACCGTGGGTCCTGTGCACGTGGTGGGGATGTTAGAAGATCAAGGAGGTTGTGACTCTGGGCCACACAAGCCTCATGACAGTAAGTATTCCCTTATGGAAGGCCTTCAAGAGAATCTCCACAGAGGATACAGTACATGGAGCCTGTTCGTATTACAACAGCATTTACCATGAGACCCCTTCAAGTAGGCTGTTCAAAATAGAATTCAGTTGGCCGAGGGTGATTTCCACACTGCTGTTAAATAATCCAGAAAATCATAGAACACAGAATTCTAGAGCTGGGAAGCCTTCTGGAAATCTTCTACACCCACTCATTTTGCAGATGAGGGACTGCAGACCAGGGAGTGGGGTCGCTTGCCCAAGTCTTCGTGACTCCCAGCGACGGCGCCCCAGGAGATGCGTGCGCCGCCATAGCCCTGGGCGGCGCCTTTCTGTGCTGATTCTCTCCCGGGCACTGGAGAAACTCATCAAAACCCTTTTTAGAAAGGGTTTCATGATGGTGACAATGCTATACTGTGCCCAGATTCTCCCCATCCCTCCACCTTCAGGGTAAGTTGAGGCTTGGAGCTACTTTATTCCTTGGAGTAAGGCTCTCCACGGGCTGTGGCCAACATGCGGGCTACACCGTACCTGTCTATCTGCCATTGCCTGGGAGCCCTGCTGGTGACTACAGCATCCAGCCAGCATCTGGAACACAAGTGGGCAGCCATGCTTGTTGGATGCCTGGTGCACGCATCCGGCCCTTCCAGCTACCCTCCATTCCAAGCCCTTGTATTGACTCTGGGCTGTGGTCCCACCTTGTACCACACTAGTGATAGTCAGCGCGGACCCCCAGCTTTGCTCGGCCTCCCGGCCACCCATCCTCCCTCTGTCCCCACCCCTTTCCCTGACAAACCACCACCACCCTCTCTTCCTTTGTAGCCTTATCCCCCTCGGGTCAGCCACCTCGAACTTCCCTATGGCCAGGGCTCTGGGTGGCACCGTGTCCGCCAATTGTCGTGGCCGGAAGGCTGTGTGCCTCAGCCCAAGGGGAAGAGAATTCTGAGGAATGGCTGACTGAGTCTTGCCAGGCAGCCCCAGGTTGGGATGCTGGGGGCCCTCCCAGAGCCAGGCCCCCGGAGACACATGGGCTGACCAGGAGCCCACAACTGTCTCACCTCTACCTTTCAGCATAGAAGGGACAGTGGGGAAGTGAGGCCTGGTGAGGAGGGCACTTTGGAGGCCTCGCCCCCTTTCTTACCTGAAATTCACGGAGCTCTGTCCAAGGGGCCCTTTGGGTCCCCATCGAGTCTGATTCCCATGCTAACTGGCTTTGAACATGCTCAGTGGAGCCACACTCTCCAGCCAGGATAGCAGGAGGTTGTCCTGGGATGGATTTTATCTCACAGACCACTCCAGAGAGGGGAAACTGAGGCACAGCACCAAGCACTCATAGTAAGTGACACAAACGGCTTTTCTCCCAAATATCTACATGCCTCACTCCCTCGTTTCTGTCCGCTAGCCACCGTCTCAGAGAGGGCTCTGGGCTGCCTTGTATAACACACCCTCACAGCCTTACCCTGCATATTTTCCCCAAAGCACTCATCACCTGGGACCTGCTCATTTCTTTGTGTGTCTCTCCCCTGAGTAGACAAGTTCCATGAGGGCGAGGTCCTCTGTCCAGTGCTGTTGCTGCAACAGCTGGAACAGGACCTGGGATATAGTAGATACTTAGTAACTGCTGAATGAACAAATGAAGGAATGAATGAATGAGTCAGTGGCAGGGCTGGTTTAGAACCCCGTCTTGTCTGCCAGTTCTGTGCTGTCCACTTGCAAGGCTCTGACCTGGTTCCAGAAGAAGAGAGGCAGGTGGCCAGCAGGGCTGGCCCTGGGCCCTGGAGGGATGGATGCCTGGGCATGAAGGGGAGCAGGACTCGGGGAGGCAGGAGTGCCGTGGGACGTGCAGCAACCTCTTAGCTGCTTCTGGGCTTCCCCCACCCAGGGGACCCTGCTGTTGAAGGTTAGGGCTGCCGGTGGTTAGAACTTGATTGGGCTGCTCTTAGCCATTAAAAAATAGTGGATTGACCAAGACAGATAGACATTCCCTCTCACATGATAGATGTTCAGAGGGCTGGAACGGTGGGTCTGCCATCTTGAGCACGCCGCCTTGTGGTCCAAGATGGCTACTGGGGCTTCAGCTGTCAGGAAAAAAGAACGAGAGGGTTGCGGCTCCTCTTTTGAGGGTACTTGCCAGAAACCACACACCACACTTCCAGGGACATTTGTCAAACAGAACTTGGTCCTGTGGCCACACCTAGCTGCAAGGGAAGCAGGGAAGCATACTTCCCTCAGGGAAGAGTAATTTTTATTTCAGGCACCCATATGGCTGACCCAAAAATCAGTTCAGTTATGGAGAAGTCACAGAGGGCCTGGGTGGCTCAGTGGGTTGGGTGTCTAACTCTTGGTTTTGGCGCGGGTCATGATCTCTTGGGGTCGTGGGATTGAGCACCCTGCGGGGTTCCATACTCAGCACGGAGCCTGCTTATCCCTTCTTCCTCCTCCTTGCCGCTTCCCCCTCCCTTGCTCATGCCCCCCTCCCCCTGCTCATGCCCGCGCTCTCCCCCCCCCCTCAAATGAATAAATAAATAAATAATATCACATTCACAAAGAATGGATGTTGGACCATAGCCTTAGTCCCTGCAAACCTTGGGTTTCTCTGCAGATGCCCGCAGGCCTCATCTTGCCAATCACATCAGCTGTTTCTGCACAAGGGAAACTTCATGGCCTAAGGCTTTGCCCCTCTTTGGCTAAGCCAGTTTCAGCTTATCCCTCATTTTCTGTGGCTCCCGCAATTTGGTGTGCTGATGGAGGAGTTCCTTGTCATGCACAAGGAATCCTGGCCACTTCCCACTCAGGCCCCTTAGCCTGCAGCTGCCCCAGGGAGCCGAGGTGCCCTGGGGACCACCCGTGAGCCAGGCCTCCTCCGGGTTTGGCCCTGGGGGACCTGCTTCCCCTCACTGTCCTTGGAATGGGAAAGAAGGATTTCTACAGCGGATCCTCCCCTTTCCAGCTCAGCAGGGGCAGGTACAGGGCGGAGGGAGGTACCATCTTAAGAGCTCGGTCCGCGGACGCTCATGAGAGCAAGCTGGAGGCCGGTGGCTTTTAAACCCGGTGGAGGTCCTCTCTGGAGCTGGTTTGGGGGCCATTGAGAGGTTGGGGTACACCGAGAGGGGAAAGCTAAGAGGAGGCCAATTTAGGGGGTACTCTGCATCCCCCCGCCTCTTTGGGCAGCTCTGCTTTTATCTGTTCGGTACGGTAGGTCTCCACAGAAGAATTCCTTTGAGAAAAATTCTGCTGTCAAAGAGAAGAAAAAATGAAATCGCTTGGCATGAGGCCCCAGGCTTTGAAGTTAGAAGCCTGGATTTTAGTCTGAGCTTCGGCACTCGCCAGCCTTGTGGTTTCAGACTCGTTCCCTGGCCTCAGTTTCCCTAGCTGTAAACTAGGTGTTAATGCCTTCCTCCACAGTGAGGCGTCTGACATGTAGGAAGCATCAGTGCATCGGCTTTCGCTCTCGCCCTGCGTGAGGTTGACGAAAGGGACCCTGTCGCTGCCCCGTCCCCAGCTGGAGCACATGCAGTGCCCTCTCCAGGCCAGGCCTTTGCCCATTTATTCGCTGGCCCACGGCCGGGTCACTCGGGATGAGCATGTTGCAGACCACGCTCACAGATGAGAGTGGGCTCAGCTAAGCAGGGGTTACGGTGGCCAGCACCACCTGCCCCATGCGTGCCTGGTTCCCAGCTGGCGCTTCTCGCCCCACTTCTCGGGCGCACTGCCCTTCACTTGAGGCTGCAAGTCAAGGCTTTCCTCAAGCCACCAACACCCCGATTCTGGCAGCCCCTGAGGCTCTGCTCATCACACTGTGAAATGGAGAGTCACAGCCTACCACTCCTTGTCTACCGAGATCAGCAGTCCTCTGGCCACTCGTGCTCCACTGCCCCTGGGCAGGCCACGGATCTGAGTGTCACCCTCTAAATAGCTTCCTTCCTCCTCCTCCACCCCTACCTGACTCCAGCGCCAAACTCACGGTGGCACCATCCAAGCCAGGCAACAAAGCACGATGGCGGTCTTTGCAGCATCTCTACACTTTGCCTTCTTTGGGGAGGTTGCAACCCAGCAGCAAATACAAACCAGGGAACCGAGTATCTCCTCCCAAAGATGAGAAGTGGGAGGAAGATAGCAACCACTCAGAGCTGCATTTGGCTTTCTGCACCATAATCCCCGGGGGGGGGGGCAAATTGCTCTGTGCCTCAGTTTACCCATATGGTAAATCAGGGCTAGTGCCCTATTTTTTTTGTTTGGTTTTGTTTTTCACCTTTTTTGGGGGGTGGGGCGGGGAGGGCTCCACGCTGGAGCCCAACGTGGGGCTTGAACTCACAACCCTGAGATCAAGACCTGAGCTGAGATCAAGAGTTGGACGCTTAACCAACTGATGCACCCAGGCGCTCTTGTTTTTTACTTTTACAACTCGGTAAAATAAGCCGTATCTCAAACTATGCCCAAAGAGAACACCAGTAGTCCTTAAAAGATATTAACAGTTACGCTCTCAGTAAATGTTTGCTAAACGAATAGGAAGTTTTTCATGAATAAAAGAGAAGCATGATCCAAAAAGTTTGGGAAAGGCTGCGTACTCTTCCCCTTCTTGGAAAGTCAGTGCCTATTATGATCTTAAATGCTCCCAGATCTTAAAGGCCCCTTACTGCTTTTGCTTAAGTCAGCCTTCCCCAAATGCACTTGAATCATGGAAACTTTACCTTTTCTCTTCCGTTAACATCTGGTGGGAAATACTGATGTAAAGGTGGAGGGACCACCTGTCCCAGCTTGTCCAGGACAGAGGGGCATCCAGGGGTGTGTGACTCCGTGCTAGGAGCCACACAGTCCTACTTAAGGAGCTGGATCAGGCACACAGGGGCAGGAGCATTGCTACGCAGGATCTTCTTGGAATGGAAATGTAGCCTCACAGCGCCCTCCTTCCTGAGCGGATTTGTTAGGAAACCACGCAGGAGCTTGTGGCCAGAGTAAAGGCTGCTCATACCAGAGTCTGTGCAGGAACAGGTTCCATCCCAGGCCAGTGGCCCCCCATGGGTACTTATTAACGGTGCTGCTTCTCAGATAGAAGTTGAAGGCGTTATTAAGAAAATGGTGGGTGTGCGTGTTTTTGGCATTGGATCTTTCCACTCAGATGGGGGCACCCGTGGTTTGCCGGTTGATTCTGGCTGCTCTTTTCCCGTGGTGCTTCTTTCTGCCCCAGCTTCTTTGAGTCCCTGTTCCTGAGAGCCTCATGATTTCTGTTGTAAATTCTGTCCGAGGCTGTCACCCTGCCCCCCGGGGGCTTGGAGAAGGGGCTTCCAGAGGATGTTCCGTCAGCCCGCACTGCCACGATGGCTCACGGGGAGGCAGTGGTGCTTGGGGCTTTGTCCTCGGCCCTGGTTACACGTAGATCTCATCCACCTTCAGGCTGTCATTTTTCTGGGAGTCAGGGAGGCGAAGGGTGGGAAGGGGGTGCATCGTGTTTGATGGAGAAACCAGCTTGCCTGTGCTTTCCAGGCTACTGGGAGCACATAGGGCATCCCCACAGGGGCAGGTCAGGGAGCCTGGGGTCCCCTTGCTCAGGCAGAGGTAGCCCCGCACCCCAGCTCTAGGGGGCGCTGCTGAGTAGAGTGTGGCTGAGTCTCAGCCTGCCTGAGCATGCAGCAGCCCTGGGCTGTCAGCACAGTCCCCAGCACGCCCCTTCTCCCGGCCAGGAAGGAGGGGTTCCCACACAGAGCTGCTTCTCACCCCGAGGTCCTCCTGGTCCCCACTTCTCAGCGGCCACAGGGGGCCAAGGCACTAGAGAGCGCGTGCTGTTGAACCTGGTTCCTGGGGAGAGGCAGGGTGGGAGCTTGTCCACCGGCTCTCATTCTCCCCTCGGCATCCCGGAGAGGTTGCACTTGGCTGAAAAACACTTTGGCTTTCCTCCCAGGCCCCGGGGAGAGTCTGGAAGTCTGGTCCTGACCGCACACTATCAGATCTCTGATTTCCGTGGGTCCTCTCGGGCACTCACGTAAGCACAGCAGCTACGGCGGCCCCTGGGGCCTCCTGTGAATGAAGCTCTGGTGTATGGAGCTACTTCCGTGTGTGTCTGGGGCGGGTGGGATGACAGCAGGCATGGAGCAGGGACCCAGGAGGGTCCTGTGTTGGGTGGTGAATAAAGAGCAGGCACAATAAGAAAATGGGTTTGCAGGAGAAAGGGGCTCCATCCACCCGGGGCTGGGAGTCCTCCTTGTGGGGCTCAGTTTTCTCATCTATGGATGAGGGGCTGGCCAGGAGGTCTTGAGGACCCTCCTGTTCAGTATTTCCCAGTGATCCGAAAGGCCTCACTTTCCTGATGATTTTGGTCCCAGAACTGGGAGCATAATAGCGCTGGGTGCAAGCGTGTGGATGTATCCAGGAGGGGGAGGGGGAGGGGAGCTGGGGGGGGGGCCCCGCCTGGGCCGTGCTGATGCTGCGTCACTGGGGATGGCTGGAGGTGGATGGGGGGGTGTGTGCACATGGCAGTGTGAGAGCTCTCAGGGTCTGGCTGGCCTAGGCCCTCCTTCCTCTTCATCTCACTACGGGTCAGCAGCCTCCATCCCTGTCCAGGGGCAAGAGGGGAAGCAGGGGCTGGAACCAGAAGCATATGTGCCCCGCAGGACAGAGAGCCTGCTTTAGGAGCTGGACCACAACGTTCTAGAAACCAAAGAAGGTGGGACCCGGTGCCCAGAACTCTTGACGATTTGCCTATTTCTCCCTTGTTGGGGTGGGATAAAGTGATGTCTTGGGTCCCTTTAGTTCTGATGGCATGAGCCAGGGATGTGGGGGACAGTGAGGTCTGCATGGCTTCGAGAGCAGGGGATGTGCTCAGCCGCTGGTCATGCAGGGCTGTGGACGCGGCCACACCTTGGCCCTCACTGCTCAGCAGCTCACTGCCTCTCTGGCCCCTGCTTCCCCAGCTGCTTCCTCAGCTGAGGGGTGGACATCAGCTCCTTTTCTGGCAGCATCTTCAGCATGATATCATCACTGTAAAAGCAAAGACCAGGCTGTCAGGGAAGATGAAAAAGGCAACGGTCTCTGGGGCCAGTGTCTCTGAAGTCCTCTGGCCTTGGGCTAGGCCACACTCCAGAGGACTGCACCCAATTTCCAGGTGGGACATCCGAGGTGGGAGGATGGTGATGAGTTACCCAGTCTTGAGGTTCCAACTAGCCTCTTCTGTTTTGTTTTGTTTTTTGGTTGTTTTTATTTATTTATTTACTTTTTTGAGAGACAGAGAACGAGTGAGTGTGTGAGGGGGAGGGGCAGAGAGAGGGAGAGAGAGAATCTTAAGCAGGCTCTACACCCAGCGCAGAGCCCAAAGCGGGGCTCGATTTCACAACCCTGAGCCGAAATCAAGAGTTGGATGCTTAACTGACTGAGCCACCCAGGCACCCCTAGCCCCTTCCCTTTTAGGTATGCCTTAGTGCTCTGGGCCCAGGAGTGGCCAGATAAACTTGACCTAGCCATCTGTACCCACCTTGCATGGTAGCAGGACTAGTAACACAATAGGGTGGAGAAAGAGAGGGGGGATGGGCGCACGTGAGGCCACAGGATAGGAGATGGTACCTCCCCTGCCTCCACCCCTTTGGGAGCCCCAGGTCTGACTTTGGTATCAGTCTTGTGTGACCTAAACAAACCTGACCCCCTTTCCTGACCTGAAACACTTCAGAGGGAAACATTCCATTTTGCTGGAAGTTTCTTCTGAATAGAAGAGCTGTGAAATCACTGTGTGTGTGTGTGTGTGTGTGTGTTTGTACCCCTACTTTCTGTTCCCCCTCTGTTGTCATTAAGCCTCCTCGACTACTTTTCGGGGATGAATTTTCAGCTGTTTGGACACCTGGCTCCAACCAGGCTGGCTCTGGGATTCTTGATTCACTTCCCTAGGTGGAGCCCATAGGAAACCAAGCTTCCTTGACTAGCTCTAACATCTCAAACACAGAGGGGACAACTTGGCTTTGTTTAAAAGGAACGTGGCTTTTAACTTTCCCCCGACCGCAGGCCTTGGTGGTGGTGGTAAGAGAGCTAGCCCTCAATTGTTTAGCTATATTCATTTATGAGGTTTGTTTGTTTCTTTTTAAGCAATACGCCCAACAGACCCCCTACTCCCCACAGGCAAGCAGACCTCCTCTGTCCTTAAACACCAAAGAAGTCTAGATTTTGTGCTTGATAGGGGAGTCGTCATGCTTCTTCCCTTACTTCTTAGGGCCAAGCAAAGAGTCTTGGGTGACAGAGTTTTGGCTTTCTTTTTAACTTGCTTTGCAGAGTAAGTGGGGTTTCCGATGGGGAGCCAGCCAACCAAGCCTTAGCTTAGCTCTCCCGACACACCCATTTAGTCTGGGGGACATGTGCTAACAGGGATTATTCTGCAGCAAGAAGGATGCAGGTGTTATTCCTGGAAGGGGAGAATTCTCTCCAGGGCAGAAGAAGAAAAAGTTTGGAAATTTGGAAAGCTCTGCTTGCTGCCTTAACCTTCAGCTTCCAGCAGGCGGAAACCAGTCATTCCCAGGGAAATTCACAGGCCCCGTCGCACAGAACTTTCTCATTCCGCTCCCAGAGGCAACTGTCCCCACTTGTATGAGGGACTTCCCTCTGGCTTCTGGCCCTTGTTTGTTTTCAGCCTGGAGTGGATACTGGGCCCTGGTGGAGGTTTCCAAGGGCAGTGGAGAAATCTGTACACATCTGGTTATTTTCATGGCTTTGGGACGGGGAAGGTGGCGTGGGAATGACAACATCCCCCTCGGAAAAATATTTACCAAGGTTGTTTTTGAACTGACCTCTAAGGGAAGAGTTGGATGCCAAGTGTGCGCATGCTTTGGTGGGAAGCCTGTATGTGCCTGGGGGCTTAGAGAACACTAGGTGTCCCGGGGGAAGCCAGGGGGTCAGTTGCAAAGTTGTACGGCACGGCTGAGCCCTGTGCAGTGGTTCATTGTCATGGGGGGTGGAGCGTAGGACCCTCGCCTCCATGGACAGCCCCACTGATTCTGCTCCGGCCCCCTCTCCTAGCCCGTCCCGCCTGCTCTGCAAGGGGCATGATGATGGGACCGCCTCAGAGGGTGTGGGAGACACCAGTGGGATCACCCACCAGAGAGCTCTCAGTTCAGTGTCTGGCCCATATAAGGCCTCCATAAGGGCTAGATAAAAGCTCAAGTGATGTGATAAACGGGTTTTGATGGGTGGGTTTGCAGAAAATGCCACCGTGTACGGGGAGAGGAAGCACATACTTGTGCCCCATGGTCTCAGGCGTGACGTAAGCCCAGCGGGGCCCGCAGCACCCTGCCCTGCTTTCCTGGCCCTAGCACGACGTTGGCGTCTCCAGCGCATGGGAGGGTGTCGGCAAGGTTGCCAGCCTGGCTTCCCATCCGACCAGACCTGCCCTTCTGCAGACTTGGAGTGTTTTGACATTTCCCCCCAAAGCTTACACATTTTTTTAAGTGTCGCTTTTGTTCCAAGGTAACTACTTCTCTCTCCCTGGAGTGACAAGGAGACCAAGGCTCCAGAGGCCTCAGACTCACACAGGATCGGGGTCTCCTACCCCAGAGCTCACTCTTCCTGTCATCTATGTGCATCACACATGGGGTCCCCGAAACCGATACTAAAGACAGGCCAAAGGCCTGTCTCCCCCCCAGGGTGCTGTCCTGTTGTCCTGACCTTTGCATGGGAGCCCTTCCTGGCCCTGGCAGAGAGGTGAGCTCAGCTGGCTGGGCATCACCCCTGCCTGCTCGCAGGCCCGTTGGTCGGCAGCTCCCGGGCACGCTGCCTGGTCACACAGATCAGGATTCACATGGTCTGCAGCGGCCGAAGGGATTAGGAGGCCCTGGGAAGGGTATTGTTTTCAGGAGGTTAGGCTGTCTTTCCAGCTCAGGAAGAGCCCCAGCCCCTTTCCTGGCCTGGCTGGCTGCCCTCACATGAAGCGTGGAACGCACCTGCCCCAGACCTCCAGGGCCAGCATGTGCGTGCTCCTCTCATCAGGAACAGCCACGACAGGTGGCTCAGAGGCCGGCAGCAGGCGCAGGACAGGGACCTCCGCGTGGGCAGGGAGAGGAACCAGGCGGGGGCAGCTGGGGCTTGGGCAGAGGCGGGGCTGCAGTCTTCGGTGGCACAGTTGACTAAATTCCAAGCTCTCCTCTTACCTCTCTGCCTTCGGCCACAGAATTAGAATAATGAGTAATCCAAAGAATGTATTTAGAAGCTTCCTGCTGAGGAGCTCGGTCCTGCACAGGGTGGGGGTAGGGTTCCACCTTCTGACCCCCACTTGGAGAGCTTCTGATGAGGGTGGGGTGCGGGTGTGCCCTCATTAGGAGGGGCTGCAGAGGTCACCGGAGCCACCCCGCTGTGAACCATGTGCCAACTAAGGCCTCCTGCGGCTGATCCCCTAGGGAAGGAGGAGAGAGCAGGGTCGCTCTAGAGCCCCTGAAAGCCAGGTGGGAGTGACAGCTAGCCAGCCAGGGCGTGGGTCTGGGGTGCCAAAGCTGAGAGGAGATTCCGTCCGGAAGTGGCATCTGGGCGCCGGATGGGGAAGCTCAGGACACGGGGCCTGGGGCTAGCGCTGCTGGTTCCTCTCCCTCCCCACACACTGCAGGGACTCGCAGCAAGAGCCCTGTCCCCTCGGCCCAGCCCCGCACGCCCTGCGGGAAGTGCAGACAGATGTTGCCATGAGCTCATGCGAAGTGGCCCTGTGCTGCGAGCCACCCGAACGCCCACCAGCAGTGGAGTGGGTAAGCGCGTCGTGGGATGGCCACGCGCCGCAGCGGTCCACGGCTGCGTGCCAAGAGAAGGATGGGTCGTGCAAATGAGAAGCCCAGGTAAAGGCCAGGCGCAAACGTCAGTGGGTGGGCAGTACCACCGATGGACACACCACTGGCCCGTGATGTTTAAGTCAGAGGAGCGCTTACCCTTGCGGCTGGAAGGGACCGGCGGGCTTCCAGGATCAGGCGTCCTGTTGGGTGATCTGGGGCCGGGGCCGAGCTGCATCAACGCCTGTGATGTGTGCCATTCTCCGTTCTCCGAGTGTGTGTGATTCTTCACCGAAACACTGTTAAGATGAAGGAGGAGGAGCTGTTCTCTGAGGATCTCCTGACTCAACTCAGCAGCCCAAACCCCAGGCCCCAGACAGTTCGGGGTGGCGGCCCAGGGAGAGAGGCTCTGTGGACCAGGAGCAACCAGCCCCCAGGAGAGGAGGAAGGGAACCGAGTTAGGTGCCCTGCCCTGGCCATTCCCGTGGGGGTCAGAGAGAGCCCAGCGCTGGGCGGCCCCGAGCTCGGGAGCACGGCAAGCACCTGCTGGGGATGGGTGCTGTGCGGGCTCCGGGTGCCAGGGCAGGGCCGCTCTTAGAGTTTTTTCACTTATTCTTTCTCTTTGGTTTTTTGAGTAAGTCACAATGCAGGTGTTTCTGTTGGTGGCATGAGTTACAAATACTTGTTGCCAGGTCGCCATCGTGTAGTTTGGTTTCTCCTAGTCTGCCGGTACGAGCGGCTCCCATTGGGTTCTTCCAGGAAATCGAAGCCTCGTGTCCACAGCTGGATAGAAACCTGGGCACCTCGCCCTAGACCCAGGAGGCTCATGGACATAAGGGGTCTGCAGACCGCAGCCCCTGACCCCTCACTCTCTGTGGTGCTTACCTCTTCTCACCTCGGTTTATTCGCGGAAACCACTGGAGTTTTTCAGCAGGTGTAGATACCACATAAAAGCTCCTGGCCCTCAGTTGGTGGTCAGTGCATTTTTTTTAAGATTATTTATTTATTTATTTATTTGCGAGAGAGAGAATGAGAGACAGAGAGCATGAGACATGAGAGGGAGGAGGGTCAGAGGGAGAAGCAGACTCCCCGCTGAGCAGGGAGCCCGATGCGGGACTCAATCCCGGGACTCCAGGATCATGACCTGAGCCGAAGGCAGTCGCTTAACCAACTGAGCCACCCAGGCGCCCTGGTGGTCAGTGCATTTTAATATGTGAGCTCCTCACCTTCTTCCAGGGGCACACACTCAAGCAGACTCTTTCCATCTTGCCCACACCCCTCAGGGGGGCATCGGGAAGGGGGCAGAAGGGATGTAGCTTGGGGTCACTGAGGAGGAAACCCAGGCCTGGGAGAGATGGGCAAGCCCTGTGTCTCCCCGTGGCTCCCTGCCCGCTGGTGCCAGAGCCCAGCTGGCCTGAAGGGAGGCTTGGGCTGCCCGGCCTTTCCCTGTGAGCCTGTATGGTCTGGGGGTGCTGTCAGGGCAGAACTGGAGGCTTCCTCCCTCGCCCCTGCTCCCGCTTTCCCCCAGGCTTGTCTGAGGAGGTGAGTCCCGGGCCTCAGGCTCTTCTTGCTTTTGCAGGAAGATTCCAATTACCCTCTCCCCTTGTCCACGGCCACCCTGATGCTGTCACGAAAGGGCCTGCGCTGCACTGGGAAGCCTAGGAAGAGACCCAGTGGGTCTGAGGCCGCCTTGTGTCCACCCTCCCCCTGCCGTGTCGAGGCCTTAGAGGGGTGAGCATCCCCAGAGGCTAACAGCCTGGCTCTGTAACAGGGACTTGTGGCGTGGGCGTGACTCCGGGCTCCCTTAGGATATAACCGTGGCTAACGTTAGCCGAGCACTTTCCCTGTGTGCTCACTGCTCTAAGTCCTATTCTTTTTTTTTAAGATTTTATTTATTTGACAGAGAGATAGAGAGCACAAGTAGGCCGAGCGGCAGGCAGAGGAAGAGGGAGAAGCAGACTCCCCACTGAGCAGGGAGCCCTTCCCGGGGCTCGATCCCAGGACCCTGGGATCATGACCTGAGCCGAAGGCAGACGCTTAACCGACTGAGCCACCCAGGCGCCCTGTTCTAAGTACTTAAAGGGATTTAGTTACTAAATATCACGCTCCTCTTCACTTCGGACAGACGGGAAAACTGAGGAATAGAGTTAGACACTTGCCTGGCGCCCAGGCGGGTGCGGGGGGATGGGGCCCCGGATCAGGTGGTTGGGCTCCTGAGGGCGTGCGCTCAAGCACTGGCCTGTGCCGCTCTCACGGGGGCGAGGGAGGGGGAAGGCGCCCCAGTGGGACTGGGCCGGGCTGTGTGTAGGCCCGGGCTCTGGGCGGCACTCCTGGTGCAGGGGTGGTGCATGGGGTGGGAAACGAGAGAGAGGCGCTGGCCTGGGGAGGGAGAGACGGGATGAGGTCCTCTGGCCCTGGTGCCTTCCCTGCGGGGGGGAGTGTGCCCGTGGGAAGCCTGCCTTCCTCCGTTGCTGAGACCTCCACGCTGGACAGCGGCTGCCCTCTCCTGCCTGGGGAAACAGCCAGACAGGGCCCCACCCGAGCGCGAGTGTCAGGCAGGCCAGCTGAAACAAGCTGATAAGGGCAGAACAATTCTAGGTTTGAAGAATGCCCGGAATTATCTCCCCCGAGGGGGCAGCCCTGGGCCCCTCTGGGAGAGCTGGTGCCGAGGAGCCAAGCCTGACAGCCCCTTGGGGTACCTACCGTCCTGCTGCCAAGAGGCACCACGAAGACAGGCTCATAGTGGGGCCGGCGGAGCCGTGGGGCCCCGGGGGAGGGGCAGGGAGGGCGGACCAGGACCTGGGCCGCACGTCGGCCTGTCCCCTCGGCCCCAGTGGGCTGGTGAGGGCAGGCGGGACCGTGCCCTTCCCCGGATGGTCGGAGCAGCCCTTCCTGCCATTCCTGTTCTCCTTACTGACCTCCAGCCCCAGCCCCTTGTCTTAGTGTTAGCTGCTACAAAACACCACGGCCCCCGTGGCCTCAGCAACAGACCTTTATGCCTCGCAGTTCTGGAGGCCGGGAAGTCCAAGATCAGGGTGGCCGCAGGTTCGGGTTGTGGTGAGGGCCCTTTTCCTGGCTTCTGGATGGCCACCCTTCGTGTCCTCACGTGGCAGAGAGGCGAAGCTCTGGTCTCTTCCTCTTTAAGGACACTACTCCCACCCGGGGGCCCCCACCCTCATGACCTCATCTAATCCTGATTGTCTCCCAAAGGCCCCCCCAATACCATCCCGCTGGGGGGTAGGGCTTCAACCGATGACTTTGGTGGGGGGACACAGCTAGTCTATAGCACCCCTCATGCCAGGGAAGTTCACCAGATGCATTTTGGGGGCCCTCAGCCCAAACAGCAGGCTGTTTGGAGGGGTATAGAGAACAGCCCCAGAGGTCACTATCCCTGTTTTTCTTTTTCTTTTTTTTTTTTTAAAGATTTTATTTATTTATTTGACAGCGAGAGACACAGCAAGAGAGGGAACACAAGCAGGGGGAGTGGGAGAGGGAGAAGCAGGCTCCCCGCTGAGCAGAGAGCCCGATGCAGGGCTCGATCCCAGGACCCTGGGAACATGACCCAAGCCGAAGGCAGATGCTTAACAACTGAGCCACCCAGGCGCCCCTATCCCTGTTTTTCAGATGGGGGCCTGTGGTAGGCCGAAAAATACCACCCTACCTGCTCCCAACCCCTCCACCTCCTGCAAAAAAAAAAAAAAAAATCCTCAAACCTGTGATTATCACCTTATTTGGATAAAGGGTCTCTGCAGCTGTAATTAAGCTAAGGATCTTGAGGTGAGATGATCCAGGTGGGCCCTAAATCCAAAGGCAGTTTTCCTTATAAGAGACACAGAGAAGAGGCGACAGACAGCAGTGTGACCAGGAGGCAGAGATTGGCCCAGGAGCGCCCATAGCCCCGGGAGGCTCCAGAGGGAGTGCAGGCCTGCCATACCCCGGCCTCTAGAACTGTGAAAGAATACATTTCTCTTGTTTTAAGCCGCCCAATTTGTGGGGATTTGCTACGACAGCCAGAGGAAACTAATCCAGGATCCAAGGCACAGAGAGGGTCTGGCTTCCCCAGCGCCCAGTGCAGGCCTGGGGAGAAGGCTGAAGCTGGTTGGTACAGCCTCCCTCTTCCCCTCCCTGGGCTCCCAGCCCAGAGCTCTGACCTTTCCCAGCCACTGTCCTCTGCCCACAAGCCCCTTGCTGATGTTGTTCACCCAGGTCAGGCTTCCCCACCCTCCCCACCCCCACCAACACTTGTTTAGGACCTTTGGGGGGTGGGGGGTGGGGACTGGCTTTCTTAAAGCCACAGCATTTATAAGGGATGGGTACAGGGCAAATGAGCAGAACATCAGAGCAAACAGCCTCCAAGGATAGCACCCACATTGGGGCAGAGGGCAGAATCCAGAAGGGCCTCTTGGTGGAAGGCAGTGAGTGCTCAGCTAAGCAGGAGGCAGGGAGGTGGCAGGGAAGGATGAGCAGACAGCGCTGAGGAAGGGGACTTATGAAAACCTGCATGGAATGAAGGGTGCCTGGAAGCAAAGAGGTGGGGACATAACATGGGGGCACACCAAGGAGAGCAAGGGAGTAAGTGTGGCATCGAGAGAGGGCGTCTGAGTTTGGGGCCTGCATCCTCCTAAAGCTCCCCATTTGCCCCACATCGCTGTAGTCCCAGCTACCACCCAGGAGCCTGGCAATAAGCGGACCAATCCAACATGGGCAGCAGGATTTGGGGGCTGAGAGAGGTGGGCTCTAGCACGCTAGCAGGGGCTCAGACTTCAACCAGGCTGCACTGGAGGTAGCATCAGGCTCCTGGGAAAGGCGAGGCTCAGGAAATGGGGGGCACAAACTGGAAAATGAGTTTTGAGGTCGGTCCGTTCTTGGAAAGGCCTCTGAAGTGGCTGTTTTCCCAGCAAGAGCAGACTTACCTATGTCATGCTTAGGAAAGTGCCTCTACCTGAGAAATCTTGTCCTTTTTAACAGATGTGCTTCGTGGGGGCCGAGGCCTTGGGGGATCAGAGGCAGAGCCAGCACCAGAAAGCTCAGATCTCTGGATTCCCAGTCTGTGTGCTTTCCTTTATCCCGCCAATCCGGGAAGACACCAGCTTATCCCACCTGGTTTTTGCCATTTTACTCCCGGCTTTTTGGTGTTATTTCCCTGGAGATTAGAGTAGTCGGGGGTGATGAGCTGGGGGTAACAAAGGAAGGAGGGGTGGACACTGGTGTCCAGGCCTGGCCCTCCCTCCCAGCTCACTGCCTTCCTGCCCTCCCTCCACACGCCCTCTTCCTGGGGCATTCTTTCCAGTTTCCTTTCCCGCTATTAATAGCCGCGAGTCACCCCAGGTCTGTCAGTAGCCAGGAATGGGAGGAAGCAGGCCCTTACCAAAGGCTGAGAGCAGTGTTCGCCTCTCCCCAGGGAGAAGACGGGCGAGCTTCTCCCGCTCCCTCACTGCAGATGGGCGTGCGGAGGAATGGCGCCTTGCAGGTGGAGCCCCCAGCACCCACTCATTTCTTTCAAGACCCCATTCAGGGTCTCTCCTGGTTGCTGGTACCTCTGACCTCTTCGGCAGCCTCCCCTCCCCCACTGCAGACTTTGACTCCTTCCTCTCCTTCTCAATTCTGGGTGACCTCAGTACCCACTTGTATAAACCATGAGATATCCTGGCCTCCCATTTCCGAGACTTTTTCCCATCTCCACTTCATTCGGTCACTCCTGTTTCACACCCTGAACGTGACCAACGCCCCAAACTGCACCACCTCTGAAATCTAAGCATTGCATTCTTTGATCACGATTTTTCTACCTTCCAGTTCCTTTGTTTAAGTACACCCGGACCTAATGCTTGAACCTAAGACAGACAGTCTAGTGACCCATCCCCTCCTCGTGGCCTATCGGCTCCCCCATCTGTTCTTATCCCTCCTGTCCTTCACTCCCCACCACAGTAACCCCGACCTCCCAAATATCAAGTCCCTTGCACCCTGTCCCGCCAGTGTACTCACCTAGCAAGCCCCATTCCCAGATGAACTCTGCCTCCGCTTTTTCCATGCGCACGCCCAAGCAGAACACAGCTGGGGTAAAACCACACGCTGGCTGATTGGATTAATTTTCAATTTGTGATTCCAGGCCCCCGTTTGGCACCAAATATTACTTGGCATTCATCCTTTCTTTCTCTAGTACCGTGGTTCTGAAGTGCTATCCTCTGACCAGCAGCAGCAGAATCATCTGGGAACTTGTTAGACATGTAAATTTTTTTTTTTAAGATTTTATTCATTTATTTGAGAGAGTGACAGAGAGAGAGAGCATGAGCCGGGGGCAGGGGAGGAGCAGAGGAGGGAGAAGCATACTTCCCGCTTAGCAGGGAGCCCGACATGGGGCTTGATCCCAGGACCCTGGGATCATGACTTGAGCCAAAGGCAGATGCTTAACGACTGACCCACCCAGGCACCCCTAGACATGTAAATTCTCATGCTCTGTCCCAGACCTGCTGAATCAGAAACTCTGGCGCTGGGGTCTGCACCTGGGGTTTTAACAAGCCCTCCCGGTGATTCTGATGCGCACTAAAGTTCAAGAACCATTTTCCAGTAGGCTCACTTTTCTTCTTTCCAAAATGAGCATTTCGTACTTTGCCCTTGCACATGACTTCATCTATAACAGCACGGCTTGATTGAGAACACTTAATCTTTTCACTACCAAAATGACAAACGTACTTATGTGTGTACCCATCTCTTCCCATTTCAAAGGCGGAAGTGTCCACCTGTCTAATGACGGTCATTCTGTATCTTAAGGACCCAATGAGACATCACAGAGGGAACAAAACAAGGAGCATTCTTCTCAGCCTTTCCTACCTTCAAAAAGAATAGCAAAACTTTTTTTTTTTTTAAGATTTTTTATTTATTTATTTGACAGAGAGAGACACAGTGAGAGAGGGAACACAAGCAGGGGGAGTGGGAGAGGGAGAAGCAGGCTTCCCGCAGAGCAGGGAGCCCGATGCGGGGGCTCGATCCCAGGACCCTGGGCTCATGACCTGAGCCGAAGGCAGACGCTTAACGACTGAGCCACCCAGGCGCCCCTATTTATTTTTTATAAGATTTTATTTATTTATTTGACAGAGAGAGACACAGCGAGAGAGGGAACACAAGCAGGGGGAGTGGGAGAGGGAGAAGCAGGCCTCTCGCGGAACAGGGAGCCCGATGCGGGGCTCGATCCCAGGACCCCGGGCTCATGACCTGAGCCGAAGGCAGACGCTTAACGACTGAGCCACCCAGGCACCCCAATAGCAAAACTTTCTTGACTATTCCAGCCCCTTCCAGCGATTTCTCTGCTCCTTTTCCTACCTAATGTTTGATATTATCTACACACAAGCTCACTTCCCTTCAGTCAGCCCTGGTTAGGCTTCCAGCCACACTGTTCCGGATGAAACTGCAAGTTGGGACCGCCAGGGACTTCCATGGTGCAGCTCTTCATTCAGCACCATCAGCCAGCCCTTCTTCTTCGGGGAGAGACCAGAAACTCCTGTTGCATCTCCCTCTTTCCCTCTAGAAGTAGCTGTTGTCCTAAATTAGTATTAAATTATCTGAAGGGGCGCCTGGGTGGCTCAGTTGGTTAATTGTCTGCTTTCGGCTCAGGTCATGATCCCAGGGTCCTGGGATCGAGTCCCGTATTGGGCTCCTTGCTCAGCGGGCAGTCTGCTTCTCCCTCTGCCTGCCACTCCCCCTGCTTGTGCGCTCTCTCTCTCCCTCTCAAATAAATAAATAAAACTTAAAAAAAAATAAATTATCTGTAGAATCTTAATGATATTTTCTATAATTCTGTCTCTAAAAATATACTGTTTCATTTTGCCAATTTTTTTTTTTTTAAAGATTTTATTTATTTATTTGACACAGAGAGACACAGCGAGAGAGGGAACACAAGCAGGGGGAGTGGGAGAGGGAGAAGTAGGCTCCCCACAGAGCAGGGAGCCTGACGTGGGGCTTGATCCCAGGACCCTGGGATCATGACCTGAGCCGAAGGCAGACGCTTAACCGACTGAGCCACCCAGGCGCCCCCACTTTGCCAATTTTTGAGCCCTATTAAAATATCATATAAATCATATTAAGTATTCTTGTTCTTTTAGTTTTTTTTTTTAAGTTTATTTTTGTTTACTGGTCTCTACACCCAACGTGAGGCTCAAACTTAGAACCCCGAGATCAAGAGTTGCATGCTCTTCCAACTAAGCCAGCCAGGCACCTCTGTTTAGTATTTTTAGATTAATTTCTGTAAATGCATGTATTATACTATGTAATACATATGTAACATAATACACAATTCACTGATTTTCAGTGCTGTGTCGTATTCCAGTATATGAAGATACCATGTTGGCAAGCATTTGTTTGATACCTGTATGGGGCCGATATAGCAGTCTTGTCAGGGGCATTCTTATGAACGCATCCTGATTCATCCATGGCTCCCTAGGATAAATGTCTAGTGGTGCAACTGGAAGTTGTAGATTGAGAGGTATGTGCACGTTTCATTTCGGAACGCCATACTGTTTTCCAGCATGTTTGTACCAGTTTATGCTCCATGTTCTTGCTGCCACTTGCTATTGTCCGACTTTATAAAATTTTGCCAGTCTAGTGATGAAATAATTCTTACTTCATTTTGCCTTTCCCTAATGACTTACATATTTTCAGACGTTCATGGGCTTTTCGTGCTGCTTTTTTAATAAGATTTTTACTTATTTGAGAGAGAGAGATAGAGAGAGAGCACGAGTAGGGTAGAGGGACAGAGGGAGAAGCAGAGTCCCCACTGAGCAGGGAGCCCCATGCAGGGCTCTATTCCAGGACCCTGGGATCATGACCGGAGTTGAAGGCAGATGCTTAACCTACCGAGCCACCCAGGCACCCCTTGTGCTACCTTTTATGTAAAATACCAGTTTAATTGTTTTGTCTGTTTTTCTACTGGGTTATTGTTCTCTTATATACAGAAGTTTTTAAGAAATATATTTTAGGAGCGCCTCCATGGAGCAGTAGGTTAAGTATCAGACTCTTGGTTTTGGCTCAGGTCATGATCTCAGGGTCCTGGGGATCTATCCATGGGCCTCTGGCTCTGCGTTCAGTGGGAAGTCTGCTTAAGATTTTCTTCTCCTTCTGCCCCTCCCCCCATTCTCTCTGTCTCTCTAAATAAATAAAACCTTAAAGAAATATATTTTAGATATGAATCTTTTATGATTATATATGTTGTAAATATCTTCTGATTCTTTTTAATTTCCTTTTGGTTTCTTTTTTAAAACCTTTCTTTTTAAGTAATTTTAGATTTGCCAAAAAGTTGCAAGGATGATGCAGAGAGTTTCATATACCTTTCCTTTAGCTTCGCCTAATATTATCTGTCTTACATAACCATTCTGCATTCATCACAACTGACAAATTAACACTGGTACAATACTATTAACTAAACTATAGACTTTATTCCCGTTTTACCATTATTTCCCCTGATGGTCTTTTTTGTTCCAGAATACATTGCATTCAGTCAGCATGTCTCACTAGTCTCTTCCAATTGGTGGCAGTTTTTCTGCCTTTCCTTATTGTTTATAATCTTGCTGGTTGTTAAGAGAACTAGCCAGATATTTTGTAGAATGGGCAATCAATTTAGGTGTGTCTGCTGGGTTTTTTTTTTTTTTTTAATGATTAGACTGACTGGGGTCATGTGTTATTTATTTTTTATGGAAGTAGAGTTGACATACAATCGTGTATTAGTTTTAGGTGAACAACACAGTGATTCAACAATGATATACATCAGGAAATGTATATTAGGTTGCTCCCTAGGTCTTTTGGACTTGGCCCACTTCTTTTTTTAAGCACTTCTTTACTTTCTGGCATGATAAAAGATATTCCAGGCTCATCTTGCATTTTCCCTACATCAGCGCTAGAATCAAGCCATTTCTCCAAGGAACCCTGGTTCATGTTTTTGGAGAATGGTTGGGGATCCTTGATACTGCTGGTGGGTCACTGCTTCTAGATCCTCGGTGGAGTGCTAAGAAATAAATGTTTGTGTACTTACCCCTGTGTACACACGTTCATCTGTATATTTCTTTCTTTCTCTGTATACATATGTTAACCCATGAGTTCATAGTGACATCTGTCACTAATCAAACATCACAGGGTTCATTTAGCTTCCTCCCCACCTGCCTTCTTATTTGCAACTTCTTTCTCTGACAGTGAGAAACCTGGCTTGTGTTATTCATCATTTATTTTCTTATTTACCAACCTTGGTATACACATGAAGTAGATTATTTTATTTTATTTTATTTGTCAGAGAGAGAGAGAGAGAGAGAGAGAGAGAGCACAAGCAGGGGGAGCTGCAGGCAGAGGCAGAGGGAGAGGCTCCTCACTGAGTGGGGAGCCTGATGCAGGACTCGATCCCAGCATCCTCGGATCGTGACCGGAGCCGAAGGCAGACGCTTAACCAACTGAGCCACCCAGGCTTCCCCATAAAGTAGGTTTTTAATTGACAACCCATACTCTCCTGAGGAAGAAATTTACCCCTTTGAATCCACTTCTTTTTGTCTTTAGCTTTACAGTACCCAGCCAATAAACTATTTTTCAGTTACTTTGGTCAACTGTGTTCCCCCATCCCTCCAATGAGGTTATGTTATACATTTGCAAAATAGCTAAATTTATTTTCATAGTCTCCATTACATCCTAGGGTTTCCTGAACATTTCAGTTATTTTTTTTCTAAATTTGCGCTACGTAAATTTAATTCTTTGGGGTATTTGATTCTATGGATTTCCGCAAATACAGTCTTGTATCCATAACTGCAGTACTACATAGTTCCAGGGACCCCTGGCTGGCTCAGTCCATGGAGCATGCTACTCCTGATCTCAGGGTTGTA